GGTATTCTCTGGTGGTATTCTCAAGTTGGTCTCAGGTTGTGTTCTCTGGTCGAATCAGTCTCAGTTTGTGTTAGTCTCAAGTTACGGTAGTTTCAAGTTACGGTAGTCTCAATGCGTAGTAGTCTCAAAGCGTGGAAGTCTCTAGTCTTGTTACTCTCACTACGTGTCTAGTAAAATATCAAGGTAGTCTCAAATCGATATATAGTTCTTATCAAATTTTGCAACTCATGTCTGGTAAGGCCAATGCCCTATCCGTAGATCAAGTCACCTTTTTTGACAGCCTGTTGCATGGACACCAATGCATTTTATAACAGCAGAAAAAAAGTTTTAGTATTTTTCAGAAGTAATAAATTCCTTTCTTCGTATATTGCTCACTTAAGCGGTAGATTTTCTTAAAAAACATTTTCGTCGTAATAGCGGTAAAATAGTAATTTTTAAATTGTTATATAAATATTTTTGGAATCTTCAATGGCAGAATTTTGTCAGCAACTTGCCTTAATAATGAATTTCTTATTACATGCCGAACTTGTTGAATCGAACTTTTACTGTACTTAACACTTTATATACCAATTTATTAAAAAAATTATCAAAAGAGTGAGAAATGTTTTTGTCCCATTAAATATAGTATATTTTGCACTTTGACAAATGCTTTTTTAAAAGAATTAAATTTTATTTTCCTATTTTTCATAAAATTCTTAATATGGATTTTACAACTCTTAATAAAATTTTAATTTAAGTCAAGCATTTAATACTTTGTTTCTTAACCACTTGAAAATATTAATGAATCAGTAAGAAAATAGGAAAGACTTGCTTGCAAAATTGACCTTGATAGAAAGCTGAGAATTGAGGAATGAAATTGAGGAATAATAAAATGGCTTCCTAGAACGACTTACCAACATATAAATGGTTACATTGATGTTAAATTTCAAGTAATCGTGTGTTGACTACTAGTAATAGTAAACGTAAAGTCATATTACAGGGGCAGGCAAGTTTAAATGGGATATTTTGTTCCGTTTCAATGCTTTATAGAAATATTATTAGTTCAACTTAAAAGTCTGATCGGTACATAAAGGGTTATACAGTGTCAAAGATTTATAAATATAATTTTTCGAATGATTTGTATTGATATATTCATAACTTCATTGAAATCTTATTACTTTTTTTGAGTTTTATCCTTCAGATTCTTGTCTTTATGATGAGGATGGCATATAATTGGTAGGTATTTTACGATGCCCCATAGTTCTGGTAATAATATGATTTGCTGATTCTTTTCTGATAAAGGGGGGGGGATTATAAGCAATGCTAGCTTACGACATTGGAATAGGCTACGGCAGGAAAAATTCATATTTGAAGTATCTAAGTCATAAATTGCAATTTCTAAGTAAAACTAGTTTTGGTGGTACAATTAACAAGTTGATTAACGAAAACAAATTATGGGCCTGATGATTTCTTACAATGAAATTAAAATTCAACCCTTCTAATCATAAAGAAAACTAAACATTGCTTTTTCCGCAACTCTTTGGTAGGTAAAATAACATATACTTGGGCTAACAATTTCATACAAAGCGTAAACGTCCGCTCTTAAAATTCAAACTTGTTTCTAGTTAAGACACTTTAATTAAGATAATTACTTGAGATAATTACACAACATATGTGTAGACATAAAAGTGTAAATAATGTTTTGGTAGAATTTTTTTTTATATCGTATTACTCAATGTTTAAAAATTTATTTTTTCTGTAACTTACCTGTAGAAGTCTTAAGCGTCCTGTAGAAGTCTTAAGCGTCCACGGTGAGAATTTTAATTTTTAAAGATTGGTAACAAGGTTCTAACTTTTTCCTACGTCATCAAGTCGCCACATTTTTTGCTTTCTTTTTTTGTGGCTTCTCTTACAAAACTTTTGGGCGAACTATTTGCAATAATTAGCTAACGTTTCACAGATAAATTCAAACTTGGGGTTTCGATCACAAATTTAACCAAAAGTAAATTTTGCTTAAACTTTTTATGATTTTTCAGCTGAGTGAAATATTGCAAAATTAGCAAATAATTGTTATCAGCCAGTGGCATTTTTATAGGGGCCACAAAAATTAGAAATTTAAAACAATAGCCAAAGCTATCCATATTATTTATGTAAAGCATTTCTCAAAATATCAATTACACTACACGATTCATTTCTCAGATGGAGGGGAAAAAAATTCTGTACCTCTTTAAGCAGTTTTGTTTAAAATTTAAGCATAGTATAAATAATGTTTTTATCTTATAAAATTTAGTGCTTATTGTTTTAAACCAGTAATGCTGGATAAAATTTGTTAGTTTAAACAAAACTCATATTATTGGGATTAATATAACGCGATATAATTTATTGAATTATTTTTTTTAACATCCATAGATTAAAATCCAATGTGAAATTTATTTGATTTCGAAATGAATCTTTGATAACGAAATTCAGTTCCCCTGAAATACTGCTCTAGTGTGAAATAAAATTGTTCAGAGTTTCATTATTCAAAAATGAAAAATACGTACAATCCTAACTGACATGAAACTTTTAAATAGATTATTGCAAATAAAACATCTAAGAGAAAAAAAGGTGATCAGAAATCCATATTACTGTACAAACTCAACAAATTCCAGATATGCGAAAGTTTCGTGAACTCGAAAACTGTAAATCTCAATTTTTTTTTAACATTACTCAATCTTTTGCAGAAAACAAAATGCTGCGTCTTACACGAAACAAATTATGGCAATCAACGCTTATAAAAAATTTTAAAGATAAGGAGAGAAAAACTACAATAGTTGTCCCCAAATATTAAGCGAATTAAAAGAACTAGTGGGCTGCGCCCCCTGCTCGCTAGAGCTCGCCATCCCCGGAAAATTGCTACGCAATCTTATATGGTTTGCTTCGCAAACCAATCTCGCTTCGCTCGCTACTAACTTAGGTACATTGAATTGCAAATACACAAAATTCTAAAAATTCAATACAATCATTCAAATCCATATAACAACTTTTTTAAAAAAAAAAAAATTACATCTTTTGAGTAAATACTAAGTCATTAAAATAAATTTGAATTCAAATAAATGACATGTAATTCGTTAAACCTATTAGAAATGTGCCTAAAGCGTAATCCTAAAGCGTAACAGCACGACTGAGACTCATTTTTCAATAAGTAACTAATAACAATAATAAAACAAATAAATTCGTGACATAAATCAAAAATCGTCAAATAAATTCGTAATATATAAATTCGTGAAAAAAAGCGCTTTCGACACAATACTAAAGTAGAAATCTATCGACAAAGACTACTCACTTCTGCCTAGCTTAAGGTTATTTCACTTTCCATTTTTAAAAGCGCTATATGTTGAGCCACCTCATCTAGATTTGGCATGTGACATTTTTAGCGTTAATCATTGGTCGATTTTCTAGTGTTGCCATTCGGGGAGTTGTAATGAAGCTTTTTTTGTCGCCGTGTAAGAGAAATATATATATAGATTAAAAATATTAAGTGGAGGTGAAAAAGTAAGAAGAATATGGAAATACCTTACTTAATTTTCAACTATATTTATTAAATGTTTTGAGTAAATTATCATCCTTTCATGTTAGCTTACATAATATACTAAAAAACACTGCAATTAAAAAAAAGTTTACATTTATAGAAAAAAGGAAATTACGAAATAAAAAAACGCAAGAAATAGAAAAAAATATATATCAGAATCACCACTTATAGCAAAATAATAAAGATACCGAGGAATAAAACAAAAACAATATAAAACAGGTCTAAAAACGATACTAACAGTGTTTTTGACAGTTATGAATGAAGCGAAAGAGGAAAATAGACCGTTTTGAATTCAAAAGCAAAATTTTATTTCTACGTATTATCTAGGAAAAAATGGAGATAAAAAAATTAAATCATCAGTAATGCTCTTAAAAAATAACGCGTCGTAATAAAAAGGTCGATAAAAGAAAAAACTTCAAATAAAGAATAGCAAAAAAAAAAAAAAGTTCCGAAATCTCAATTATTCAGATTACCGCAATTTCGGGAACAAATACCACATCCTTGTATAAACAAAGATTTAAAAAAAATTATAGAAAAATAAAAAACGGAGAAAAAAATAATTTTTAATTCTTAAAGCAAAACTTAAAAGCCGAAAACTTTAGAACGATGCGATGATAGAAAAGTCTATCAAAAAAACACTTAAAAATGCACCTGAATAAAATTGCCATTAAAAACAATAATTTAGAATTTAATTCTAATAAAAAAAAAATTTTAATTTTCAAAAGAAACCTTTATCACTGTAAATATCTTTTTTTTCGTTTTGCTGCAAGTGGAAAAGATAAAAAAGTTTTATTCGTCATTAAAATCTTATTAGTCATCTTGTAACGTCTGCGAACGGAAGAATGCGTACCATGTCGAAGCGGTCGTGAGTTCAATCCCCAACGGCTGTCCCCGTGCAGTAAATGGTGACTGGTGCACGTTAAATCTGACAGGTCACAAAATCCTCCATGTATCCTTAGCAAATCATACTTCTAGGGGAACTGAATTGGAAATAGATCGTTCTCTGGTTCAGGTCAAAATTATGATCTGTGGATGTATGAATGGGTCCACCCTTCAAACGGGCTGCGACGTGTGTGTCTGAAGTCGCATTCTTGGTCATAGATGGAGCTACTGAAAAACAAGAAACGCACCCTCTGCTTTATTGATTGCTGCTGAATTTGATTTGCTTCACCTAGCGGGTTTGCTGGTATGGGCAAGTGACATTAGAAACAACAACGAGAATGCGTGGAATGAAAGTTTCGGTGAAAATAGCATCTTTCTTGCGTAATACAAGGAGACGAAATCACTGATTTTGGAGCACATGGCGCAATTTTGGCGGAAAAAAGTAGTGTCAGTTGGCGAATGGCAGGCATTTGCTTAATCGCCATTTTTTATATATTTTATTCTTCTTGTTGCCGGTGGTGACTGATTACTTATCTTTGTGTTTAGAGGGCTAAGGTATGGGGAAGAATTGGAGGCATTGAACAGTGTTGTTATAAAATTTTTCTTCGAACAAATAAATAGTGACCACATATTCATATGCGTCGCAAATTTATTATTATTTTACAAAGCTGATATTTTATTCATATCTAATTGATTACTTTGCATTTTATAGGACAGGATGTTGTCTTTATGATGGAGAATAGTAATTTGTGATTCGTCATAGCTCTGGTACGTAACTCACGCTACGTAAGTACTTTTTTTGGTATTAGAATATTATATTGCAGCAAAGTAATTTTGTTTAAACAAATAAAAATTATTAACCGAATATTTATATGGACACCTTAATTAACATTTCAAAAAAAAAGATTAGTTTTGTTAATTAACTAGCATTGTTTAGCATCAAATGAAATGGCGTCTTGGGGACGATTGTAGCAATAAGTAAAGAGACGATTGTAACAGCTGAAAATAAATAATCTTATGTTTACAAACCATTACTTAACTCTTTAAGAACCACCAAATCCCGCAGTGGACTGATCGTTAAGACACGGTTCCCAGCACATCACCGAAGTCAAGCATCACTGGCTGTGGTCAGTGTGCGGGTGGGTGACCACTTGGATCAGTCTGCGTAGGGACCGAGGGTGTGCGGTATTGGTCCTCGTTAAATTGTGCTACCGTAAAGTGCTCGACTTCGCGCGCAGGCCGTCGGGCTACCGAAGCGGGGGTGCCATCCCCTCCGCAGAGGATCAAAATTGTGATGGAATGTCTTTGGATCTTCTTCCGGGGTGCTTTCCAGACCGTCGCCAATAGCCCATTGTCCAGCTCCAGTGCGACGTAAATTAACAACAACAACAACAATAAGAACCACCAATGGTTCCCTATATCATTTATATTATGTTGCTTGTGCATTATTTTATTTGTCACCTTTCGCAGCATAAATAAAAAAAATTAACCACTTAAAGTTAAAAGTTTTACCCTTTGGATCTCTGCTCATAATAATTTTTACTCCTAAAATATCACTACTATTTTGATCAATAAAAAATATATGATAATATGTATAATTAACAATGTTTTAGTTGAATTTATGAACTGTTACAATTGACCCCGTAAGTGGGGACAATTGTAACAAGTGCACGACTGTCAAAAATTGTTAATAACTAATACAATAACATTTAAAATAAGGTTTTTTTTTCTAGTACAGGATAGTCTACTTTATTCGTCTGTCAATTAATACTAATAATATATTGGAATTTTCGTTAGTTAAAAATAGTTAAATAAAAAATGTTACAATTGACCCCACTCTCCCCTACCCCCTACTCCATAGAGCTTATACAAGTTGGAAGTGCCTTGCAGCTTTCTCGTTTTGCATATTTTAATGAAGGTCAAATTGAGAAAACAAACAATAATGAATAATTTGGGTTAATGAATAATAGAGTAGATGAAAATTGGAATTATTTTCAAGATGACGTGGTTCCGGAAAAAATATTAAACTGAAGTGTTCCTTCCTTTAAATGTTTGACACCGTTTTCAATTGGTTAGGTTAAGAAATAGTTCGGAAACTGCTCAAAAATTACCAAAGAGAATAATATTGAAGAAAAAAGTTTAAAAAAATATTTAATTTTTTTGCATAAAAATTTTTGAGTTGGTGGTTTTCATTGTTATAGTGCCACTGAAAATAAGCAAATCACATCCTATGCTTAAGTGAGAAAGTAATAAAGCACCAACTTGCTCGAATTTTAGCTCTTCCTGGAGTAATCTAATTTTAGAATTCCAAAAAACAAGGTCACTTTTCAAAAAATAAAATTAGTAGATATTCCAATTCATTTTATTAAATTTTAAAAGAATATTCAATATTTTTGTTTTGTGTTAAAATTCTTGATCTCCGAAACACATAACAGCAAACATTGTCCAACTTTTTCTTTCTTCACTTTTATTTTAAGTTACTTCAATTGATATTTTTAAAGAAAAATTTCAAAAATNAATTCTTGATCTCCGAAACACATAACAGCTAACATTGTCCAACTTTTTCTTTCTTCACTTTTATTTTAAGTTACCTTAATTGATATTTTTAAAGAAAAATTTCAAAAATGATATTATTTTAATGTCTCACGTAAGAGTGACTCATACACCGCCTTCCACTTGTCTGATAAAATTAGTAAATCACAAACCCCCTTATGTCCTTTCATAATGTTTGAAAGATCCCTATAATGTTGCATAAGTGTTTATGTAATAATAATCAATTTGTGATATTTTTTCAGCTTTTGAAAACTTCATGAAAACACAAATTCAACCAATATTTGACATTTTAGCTTTTTAAAGGTAAGCAATATAAAAAAAGAGCTCAATAATTTTAGCTTTCATTTTAACCGGCATTTATATAAATTTTAAAGAAAAGAAAAAGAATACGCAATATAAATAAAGTAGAAAACATAATTTCGTATACTAAAACAAATTGCTTTCAAGAAAAAAATCACGATATAAGTAAATTAAAACAATTAATTTGTCAGCTGAAAGCATTTAAAATCGTGACGTAAGTTATGTAATTAATAAAATCAAAGAGTAAAAGTTAAACTTTTTTATGCGTAAGAGAAATAAATGCGTGTAGAGAAGCGAAAAAATTACGCATAAGCAAAATTAAATATAAAGTAGATAGTGTGTAATTTAAGCAAAAATAATGTATAAAAAATTAAAAGTGAAAAAGTAACGTTTAAGAAGATCAGAAGCGTAAATATACAGTAAAGTATCGCGTACATAAATAAAAGCAACGCGTAAAAGTAAGAAAAAAAGAAACAAAAGTAAAAAGAAACAAAAGAAAAAAGAAACAAAAGTAATTTTATAGCATTTTACGCTTATTTTTCTTTATAACGCGTAAATTTTACAATACGTAGAAACGAATAAATGTAGCACTTAAAAGTGAAATAACACATAAGAAAATCAAACAAGAAAAAGCATTGCGTAAAAAAATAAGTAAAAGTAATAATAAGAAGAAAAAAATGCTTTAAGTAATGTATAAAAGCAATGTGGAAAATACAATATATGCTCAAGAAAAATAAAGGCGTGAAGAGCTAAAATAATGTTGCAGTAAAGAATAACAATAATTTTTCGAGTACACTTGTTCGTAAGATCTTGTAATGTTTAATTAAAATTAAATAAACATTTTAATTTTAATTGTGTAATTAAAATTAAAAAGCCTTGGACCACACAATAGGGTGGCCTCGAGAGGGTATGGCTTTACTTTTTAGAAGTTCTCCTCTACTCTATAAATAAGAACAAGGGATTTTGCAAACATTATGAATTGTAATAGCACGTTATAAAGAATTAAAACAGTGTACTTTCATTACAGGATATTAAAAGAAATGTTGGAAAAGTGATTGTTAAAATCGAAAAGTCTCAGAACCATTTCGAAGATTATGGTGTGTTATGAACTGAAAGCGTCGGCTCATGTTATGATGTTGAACAATTCACGTCACCAAGGAGAACTGAGTAAAAAAGTTAATTTGAAAGATCATTTGCGATGAACTGTAAAGGCAGCCAAGTTAACTTTTCAAAATGTTTATTATTCTTCATTTATATTTCATTATGCTTTTATATTTTATTATATTTATTATACTTTATTTATATTTCATTATACTTTATTTATACTAATAATTTTATTATAATTATTTATACTTTATATTTAATCTTCTGATACTTGTGAATTTAATTAAAATGTATTGCGTGTGTGCTTCTTACTTTACCCCTAAAACATGAAATGAGATATTGAAAACAAGAATATCTTTAAACTAAATTATTCTTGAAAAATCATATTTTAATTTAACAGCATCTTAATTTTATCGAAGTAATAGTTAAATTGCTATTGAAGCAGAGAAAAATCGCTTTTTTCCCCCACTTGTATGAGCATAATAATAGTGTGATAGAGTTAGATTGGAAATAACTTTCTCATTTTGTAGCTATATTACCAGTAAACATAACTGGTAATAAATAGATATGTTTCCAAATTCAAATAACTAAACTTTTTAAAGTGAAAAATTATACCTTGCAAATGAATTAAAAGAAAATATACTCATACTAACGTCATCACACACATGCGATGCCATTTACCATGCGGCAGAAACAGAAAAACTGACTATATTAGTTTATATAAATACTTAACATCGAGTTTTCTAAGTAAAATAAATCCTTAAATAGAGGATTAGTTTTGGTTGCTTTCCAAATAAATAAAAAGAAATAGTATGCTTAACCTTTCGATATAGTATAATAATTACACTAGAAAAGGTCAATTTTGAAAAACAAATTTTCAATCACATTTTCTTTATTTTCAGTCAAAAGTGGCAGCAAAAAATTATAATTTTACTACTACTAGTTTTTACTTTTCACTGAAAAATCCAAAATACGGTCGAAAACTAAAACTCTAAAACTAATTCAAAATACAAACTAAGCCTAGTTATTCATATTCTCTAACTATAATAGTGTTTAACTTTAAAACAATCACATTTCTTCTGCGAGCAGTTTTTGCTAAACTACGGAAAACACTAATTTTCATCTTTGACATAAACAACTCGATAGCTAATCGTATCATTTTGATAAAAGAATTTTTTTCTCAAACATTTTTTCTCTTAATGTTTCATTTAATAATTTTTAAATTATAACGGAGAAAAAACACGCTCAGTAAAAATTTTCTGAAACGATGGTTACAGCGGCAGTAGTTTTATTTAATATGGAAACAAAACTTCGCTAATGAAACTCAAACACCTTATAAACACGTTAACTTCCCAATTTAAAACTTTAATGAGCTTATAAGCCAGATATAGTTTGCAAGCATGGTGTACTAATATTAATCTATAACTAGTGGGCTGCGCCCCCTGCTCGCTAACGCCCGCCAATCCCCGAAAATTGCTACGCTATCTTATATGTTTTGCTTCGCAAACCAAGCTCGCTTCACTCGCTACTAACTTAGGTACATTGCAAATGCACAAAATTCTAAGAATTCAAAACAATCAATCAAATCCATGGAACAACTTTTTTTTAAATTGGGTATAATATAGCCTACGTCACAGGTTGTGTTGTTCCTACTAAATTTAACCCATGAACGGCATTTTCTGCGAGCCCAACTTCAAGCCACAAATAAACAAACGAAGTGTTCGATCGTTTAAATAGCTGCTCGCCAGATTTTATTGCATTATAAAGAAAAGTTATTGAAACTAAATACAACTAAATAAACAACAACAACTAAAACTAACAACAACTACTAATAACAATAACTAAATAAACAACAACTAAATTCCATTCGTTTAGCATTGCGTCATATGTTGTTCCCTACTAAATCGAAGTAGTTGTGTTTTTTTCATATTATACCCAATTACATATTTTTAGTAATTACTAAGTCATTAAAATAAATTTTGAATTCAAATAACTGACATGTAATACGCTAAGCCTATTAGAAATGTGCTATAGTATAAAATCTTAAGATTAAATTTCTAAAACTGATATCTCTTTAAAAAGGTTAAAATTTTGGCTATAATTATATAATTTGGCTAAATTGAAATAAGTGTATTGCAATGGAAAAACCTGCATAAACAAATAAATTCGTAATATATAAATTCGTGAAACAAAGCTCTTTCGACAAAATACTAAAATAGAGATCTATCGACAAAGACTATTCACTTCTGCCTAAGGTTATTTCAGTTTCCGTTTTTAAAAGCGCTGTATGTTGAGCCATTTCAGCTAGATTTGGCATGTGACATTTTTAGCAGCTATCATTGGTCGATTCTCTAGCGTTGCCATTCGGGGAGTTGTAATGAGGCATTTTTTTTGTCGACGTTGTTAGAGAAATATATAGATAATAACATTTGTTTAATATATGAGCGTTTAGGGGTACGCGGTTCATATAAGACGAATTCCGGTTGCGATCGTGAGCAGGAGCACTTCATCAACTATTATTAAATTCAAGTATAAAAACTGATGTATTGAGCAATAAAGAAGCTAACGAAGGCAATATGAACTAAACTGCAATAGCATTTGGCAAATGATAGCTGGCACTGATATTTAGCCTAAAATTGAAAATAATAAATACGCCTAACTTCGCTTAAATATCTAATAAATTTTATAACATTTATTTTATACATGCTGAATCTCCTGTTTTCCGCTGAAATTTCTTTTAAATATTAGTAAAATATTTTTCTTAATTTAACAAAAACTCATTTATAAACGTTTTGTCTACCGTTGCATACAAATAATCAAGATAAATGTATCGAAGCATTATCCTTTAAAAGCATTTAGTGCAGCGATAATTTTACATGCAGTCGTATAATTCTTGCTCTTATTTCGCTACCATTACAAACAATTTTAATCAGAAGAGATATGATACTGTTAAGTATATCTTTTTTTCTTTGTTGCTTTCTAGGCAATTTGCCCCAAATCCGGAAACAATCAACTTTGTGAGCAATTCCGGTATGTTTGAACCGCTAGAGCGATCAGGGCTGGAAATTTTAATATAATTAATAATATATTAGAGAGTTAAAGCTGAGGCATCAGTATTAAGCAATATAAAAGTAAAGAGTGTCCGAAGGCATGGTGAGCGACATTTAGCAGGGGACGGAACCCCCGATTTAGTTCGGCGAAAACTATTAGCAGTAGAATTGCATGTCATTGGTCGATAAATCTGCAATGAACGATTCGTATTTCCTTAAATTTCTTAATATTTTAGGAACAATTCAATCGTGAAGTTGCGATTTTATTACGAACGTATACTAATCTACTTCAACGCCATGATTTTTTGCTACTATAATAGGCAATCCGCCCAGAAAGTGAAGCTATCTGAAATCAATTTCTTAAAAAGTTCCGGGGGTTGACGAGCGATAGTAAGCATTTTTTAAAGAATGTAATTCGTCTATTATAATTATTGCTGTATATTCCTAATAGAGAAGAATTTATTTTCCTTATTATCACGTTGATCCACTAAGGTCTGGTGAAAAAATGTATACTTAAAATTTTAAATTACGTTCTTTTTTTTTAAAAAAAAAGTCTCCACTGTTAAGCAACAAAATTATTCTTTCTTTTTTTTAAAATTTCATAATCTTCCTTTGTCAAGATTTTTATTCAAACTTGTAGAATCTAATTTATATCGGAAAATAATTGTCAATTTAAAATATTTCAGGACTTAAGAATAATAGCAAGTCACTTTTTTCATCTATATAATTTAATAAATAGTGGGCTGCGCTCCCTGCTCGCTAACACTCGCCAACCCCCGAAAATTGCTACGCAATCTTATATGGTTTGCTTCGCAAACCAAGCTCGCTTCGCTCGCTACTAACTTAGGTACATTGCTAATGCACAAAATTCTAAGAATTCAAAACAATCATTAAAATCCATATAACAACTTTTTTTTTAAAGAAAAATTTCATCTTTTTAGTAAATGCTAAGTCAGTAAAATAAATTTGAATTCAAATAAATGACATGTAATTCGTTAAACCTATTAGAAATGTGCTGTAGTATAAAATCTTAAGATAAAATTTCTAAAATTTATATCTCTTTATAAAGGTTAAAATTTTGGCTATAATTAAGTCAATTAAAAATTGAAGTAAGTGAATTGCAATGGGAAAACCTGCATAAACCTGCAATGGGAAAACCTGCAAATAAATTCTAGTAAAACAAATAAATTCGTGATATAAATCAAAAATCGTCAAATAAATTCGTAATATATAAATTCGTGAAAAAAAGCGCTTTCGACAAAATACTAAAATAGAGATCTATCGACAAAAACTACTCACTTCTGCCTAGCTTAAGGTTATTTCAGTTTCCGTTTTGAAAAGCGCTATGCTTTAGGCATCTCAGCTAGATTTGGTATGTGACATTTTTAGCGGCAATCATTGGTCGATTTTCTAGCGCTGCCATTCGGTGAGTAGTAATAAGGCTTTTTTTAGTCGTCGTGTAAGAGAAATATATATATAGATTTTCACTTAACTGAGAGTTTAATAACAATCATTGAAAAATGATTGTGTTTAAACTTTCAAGGCAAAGCGGTCAAATAGGCAGGTGGAAGTTAATCGTTTCGTTTTAGCCAACCTATAATTTACGCGAAATAGTATGAGAATATTAAAACGGCTGTCATCTTGCGACTTGACCTCTGGAATGTCGATCATAAACACTCTTTATGCATTAGACTAGTACATATTTGTTCTCAAAGGTTCTGAAATGGGAAATTTTTTACAGCATGGAGTCGAGAAGCAAAGTAGAACTCGATAGTTTTATAATACACTATAATTACTTTAGTTGAGTTACGCTAATTAGGAGAAGTTGATAATTTTAAATTTGTTCTAAACATATAAATCTTTGAACTGCACCTTTCATCAAAAAACTGAATATTTTAAAATCGAGTGATATTGTTATAAGAAAGTTTTAGCAGAATTTCTTAAATTGTATAAAAAAAAACTCTTAGATAACATAATGTTAAATAATTAATGCTTACATAATTGCAACATTTTATATTTAAAAAAATTAATTTAGCTTGCCAAAAAAAAAAAGGCTAGGTGGCTCGAAGAGCATTTTTTAATATAGCGAATGACT